TTCTTAACATCTATAGAAAAAAAGTTATTGGCAACGTGTCGTTGGAAAGCACTAGTTTTTATATATTAGCATTTAAAGAGGTGCCACTTCTTATTTCAAGTAGTCTGTGAAAATTCAAACATCAGTCTAAAATAATGCTGGCTGTCACCCCTTACTCCCCTTAGGAGTTTTTTTTCTTTTAGAGTTTTTTTTTCAGGAATTTCTAACTTTGGCTCGAAAAAAACAGTTTTAGAAAATTTAGAGTATTTCGACTGTTGCCATTCACGAAAACACTGAAACATTTTGCCTCAAGTTATTTCGAAAACCTTATAAAAAAATCACAAACAAGCAAGTGTGTTATCAATGGAGGCGAAGATTTAGTATGTTCATGTTAATCTGACAACCAGAGCCGATGTGCCGGTCGATGTGTGGCACTCGTTTTTAAGCCTTTTTAAGCTATTATGCCTATAGGGGGAGGGGGGGAGTTCCTCCTATCTATAGGCTCGTGGGGAAGTGCCACTGGATGAAGGTTGCACGGCTGGATTGACTTCAATGGGTTTGCATTTTCAACACAGTTACTAGTAAGTAGGGATTTAAAAATGGGAAGATTAGCGGTTAAAAAGTTGTTACCCTATTACCAACAGTGACTAAGTTGTTGGTCCATCATTGGCCCAATGATAGACTTAAATGGGGCATGCGTTCTGAAAGACCAACGGCGCATGCCACCAAAAAAAACCTACCCAAATACTCTCCCTCGCCCCCAGGTTTCGAAGTTTGCCTTTAAGAGGAAGAGAGGCAGTGATACGTACCGTACTGACATCGGCTAAGTTCCACAAATGCTCGGAGCAGTTACTAATTTAGCGGAATAACCTACATATATGATTTTTTTATGCAGAATGGCCGATGGAGGTGAAGATTATTACTCAAAATTCGACGAAACTGACAGTGACGATTTCAGGGAGGCGTTTGGTGAGGATGACTATGCTCTGAACCTTCGTAAGAGAATTAAGAGATTTTTCTCTGTAGTGGTTTTAATGTATGCTAGTGGTTGTCAAACTGAGTTTCCAGGTGGCTCTTTACGGGCCTGTAAAGGTCTGTAAAGTGCCGTTAATCGAATGGAGAAGCAGTCTCTTTCTTTTAATAAATGTTGTGGGTTGTAACATAACGTTTCAGCTTTCTGTCAAACCACCGGTCAAATAAACGTAGCATCTCAGGTAATTGCTTTGAAAACGTTTATCTTTCGGGTTAATCTTTGTTTTTTCTTTAATCTCTTTTTGTGTGTGTGTGTTATTGGTTTTTTTTTTACAATGAAATACCAGCACTGTGTGTTTCTCAACTCATTTTCTCTAAACATTTTTACCCTAAAAATGCATCAAACATCGTAACATTTTACTTCTGTTTTTGAAAGCGCGGGGTTCGTCTTTATTCTATGGTCAGCTAAAATGCGGTTTCTCTTCTTGTGGTTGTGGGAGATGAAGTGGACCAAAATTCAGTGCGCTGGTCATCGGGTGTTGTGGTCCAGGTGTGCGACCTTGCCGGGTCAATATGTTGTGTTCTTAGGCAAGAAGACGCTTATTTTCCCTTCCTAGCGCCTCTCTCCACCCAGGAGTAAAAATGGGTGCTGGCGAATTGTCAGGGAAGCCTGATGAAATGTTGGGGGGTAACCTTGCGATCGACTGGCATCCCATCCAAGGGCGGAGTAGTAATACTCCTAGTAGCCTCATGGAAATCGGGATAAGCTCCGGCTAGATGGGGTACTAGGCTCTAGTACAGACTTTACCTACACGTGGTTGACTCTCCTCCTAGAGGTATCAATCTAATAGTAAAAACGAAATAATACGGTTCGCGCGGTTTCATTCCTTGCACACAAACTGTTTTTTGATAATTTAACTTGCGTAGAAATCTAATTTTGTGGTTTCTGCTGTAGCTGGTAGTGAAGAAGGAGAAGAAGAAAGAGAAGAATTCCAACTGGAAGATGAGGAAGAAAAGCTAATTGACGAGAAGGAGGAAGAACAATTAGCAAAAGAGCTGGGGACACTAACTATAAATGAAGGTTATCTGACTTGTATAAAATCATCTTTTGCCGAGCTAAATATTCCCTCCTCCAAACGAACCTGTAGCAAATAATGTTGCATATTCTGCATCCTTCATTGTCGCCTGGATTTTCGGGGAAATAATCATCACACTACTTAAGTGGTGGAACAGAATTTAGTTTCCTTACACAACAATTTTTTGAACGATGTAAGTGGAGAAGCTATCACTGTGGACCCTGTACTTCAAACTTAAGAAACTCGACAGAAAGGATGCTTTAACCATCGATAAGATTTTGTACCAGTCTATTTGATCGTTATAGGTGAAGTACCAGAAGAACCTCATGTTATGCGTTGGGTCAGAGAGAGTTTTTATGGCCAAAGAGTGAATACGAGGTAAGGATACAGATCAGACCGCGATTGGTCAGTTTATCGTCGTAAAACGCTGTACTGCCATGCGGGAGGTTGAGGGTTCGAGCCCCAGACCGAACCAACACTCAGAGCCTTAAAATATCTGAGGAGAATGTGCAGCCTTTGTCATGACATCTGCAAATGGTTATACATTCTAGTCTTCTCGGTTAAGGACGTTGTTGTAGGTAATTTAGTGTTAACAACTAGGTTGAAAACGTAAATTGGCCACCGTAAAGAGGAAAAAAGCTGACGTTTCGAGTGTTAGCCCTTCGTCAGAGCAATTGGAGTAATTGCGGGTTGTGTGTGTGTTTATATGCAGAAAGTGGAGCTACGTTATTGGTGGGAGTATTGTGACGAGAAAACAAGAATAAATTAGTTGAATGAAAAGCGCTCGTTGATACCGTGGGGATTGAGAGTGCCGATTTGGAAGATAAATTTTTGCTCTAGTGTTTTGCGGCTTTCCGAACTGCCTAGATGTAAGGAAAGGCCGCAAATTACCATATGTTGTTTAAAATGATTAGGGAGATTAAAGTGTCTAGCGACCGGTTTGGATGCGTCCTTGTTATTTCTTTCCACGTCGCGTAGGTGTTCTCGGAATCGGTCACCTAGTCGTCTTCCTGTTTCACCAATGTATAGCTTATTGCAACAAGTGCAAGTTATGAAGCCAATGACATTGGCGGAGGTACACATAAATTGATCAGTGATCTTAATGGATCTCTTAGGTCCCGATATTTTCTCTACGTTATGAATGAAAGGACAAGTTTTGCATCGTGAGCGAGCGCGTTTGAAAGTTCCAGATTGGTAATGGGTTTGAAATTAATTTCTGACCAAAAAATTGCCTATGTTTTTGTCACGTTTGAATGAAATTAGTGGGGGTTTCGAAACGATAGTGTCAGTCTCTGAATCGTTTTTGAGTCATTTAGAGTTTTTAAGAATGATAGATTTATCCGCGTGGTTGTGAGGGCGAAATATGAGAGTGAATGGAATGCGGTCAGTCTTTTCCTTCTCAGCCGTTTGTAATGCTGTAATGTAATGTAATGCTCTTCTCAGCTGTTTGTAATGTTGGGCGCGATGGTCGCCCACCTGAACGACAGAAACAGGATAGCCACGTTTATCGAAAAACTGGCACATTTGCCTCCGATTTTTCGGAAAAATCAGATTCGTCACTAAATAAACGACGAAGTCTGAGAAACTGTGCAAAAGGTATGGAGTTCTTGACGTGTGATGGATGCGAAGATGAAGAAGGACGCTGATGTGTTGCGTTTTGGTCTTGTTATTGTTTATACATTTCAAATATACCCCATAGGTATTTTCTACATTGAAAGAGGTGGGGCAGTAAGGGAGGAAGAAAAAGTAGATGGAAAGAGAATTTATAAGGCACGTGAAAATTTATGAAATGACGAATTTTAAATAGAGAATTACAAGCACCCAGGAATGAATCAATCGTAAATTTTTCGTAATTCTGATAGTAAGAAATTTAGAGTTTGAGTTGCAGCTGCATTCAGCGACCTTAAACTTAAAATCCACCTAATCTTGGAACAAGCATTTAATATTTTGAGAACGAAAAAATGTTTGCTTGAGGAAAAGTACTAAGTATCCCTTTTCTGCTCAACAGGTTTGTCAACATCCTGACAGACTTTGCAGACGCGGAGATTTTCCTGATTGACGGCGATTCCTTGCTGTTAGAAACTGTTGGTGAGAAAAGCTTGGACTGGAATAACGGGGGACAGTTTCTTCATCTAACTTACTTAACGGAGCGATTTTTGCAAAAGTTTACAGAGAAAGGTTAGTGCAAAGATGGCTGAACGCTTCCAACAGGGCAGTTTTCATAAGAATGCACATATAGGTTATCTTCACCTCAAACTCAAACTACATTTTGGTTCTTATAAAATGAAAGTAGAATAAGCGCGGCGAGGGAGTCAGATGATGCTGTTAATTTTCAAAAATAACAATCATATGTTGAAGTCACCGTTTAGTTTCCTCTCGTTTTCTTTTTCACTTGCAAGGAATTACTCGCATAACTCTAAGTCGTATGAAGTTTTCGTCCTTGCATTGGCATGTTGTTATTCCCCATTGGAGGAGCTTTCTTTACTTTCCAGAACAAACACAAACAGCCCCATTGAAGTGCTCAATGACGCCATAACTATTTTCACTAATGAGGATTGGAAATGTACTCGGGTCCAGTATGTTGTTTTTCATGAGTTTTCCAAGTGGTGTATTGTATAACAAATTGATGAATACGATGAATGGGATAACAGGTGACGTGACCCCCCTTACTTGATCGCCCCGAGTTCCGTCGCCCCTAGAGAAGCACCGTCGCCCCCCAATGAAGTTCCGTCGCCCAGAAATATGGTTCCTCTATTAAACTTAAGTCAACAGTTAGGGCGACGAATGCATACTTCAGAGCGACGGAATTTTTATGGGGGCGACGAAAATTGGGGCGACAGTGCAAGGAGGCGACGTCACCTACAACTGATGAAAGGTTATTTCCCGTTATTATAATTCACTCAAATTTTTCATCTTATGAATGGTGGTTGTTCTTTTCAAGGTGGCGTTTTCCACATCGTCTTTCTTAGAGAA